GGCAAATTACTGGTCTAAACCAATTAGGAAAGACTATCTTGTCTTTCCCAATTGCTTCTGCAGCTGGGGGTGATGATATGATCAAGTTCTAACCAATGAGGTATAAGGGCTAGCTGACTGAAGGCTTCTAGCAAAACTTCTGCTTTCCTTCTTGTCTTGAATATGGTTATGATAAGTGAAACCACAGAAGCTATGTTTCAACCTTAAGAAAAAGGCCAAGACAATCTTAGAAACCCTAGTCATATATGGCCACTGCTGCACATGATCACTCTGTGAGAAAAATTAAACCCTAACTGGAATGACCTTAGCAACCTGTGGAGATCTAAATCCCTATGACTGGTTCAAATCCACCAGATGCTCTGCCGGAGAAGGAGGGGCAATCTCCTCCTGTACCAGTCAGATCTGATTTGACAGTGTACACACACACACACACACACAAATAATAATAATAAAAAAATAATCCCGATGACCAGCACAGAGAGGGAAGACGAGAGATGGTCTTACCTACTCCTAGTATCAACCTCTGAGGTTCATAATCAAGTCTGTCTGTTTTTACAGTCTGTTCCAAAATGGTCTCAACTTCAATTATGTTTAAATCCACTGCCAATGAGTTAAGTGTGACTCACAGGGACCGTCAGCGTGGTTTCTGAGGCTATAAATCTTTGTGGGAGACTCCCTGTCTTTTTCATGAAGAGCGTCTGGTAGATCCTAACTATTGATGTTTTGGTTAGAAACCAGACATATTACGTAGTACTCCACTAAGGCTCCACTAGGGTCTGAAAAAATACCTTCCTGTCTTAAAATCAACCACACCATGGGATGACTGTGGGCATCACTCAGCTACCTTGCTTTCTGGCCTAAGGTTTTCTTGGTTCTACCTAAAAGCTCAGGGCCTTCATGGTCCCAGTATTTCCACCTTATATATATATTATTAAAACAATGAGTATATCTGTGCTTTTCTTGAAAAAACAAACAAAAAAAAAAAAAAAACACCCCACAACAAAATGAAACAAAAAGACTAGGACGAAGTAGGCAAAAAGAGATATATTACGGATTAGAACTAGCATGATTTTTAAAAATTGTACTTCCCACTAAGCCAAGGAGTTCTTGACAATAATAGTATTGCCCTTTGCATATCTGAAAATAGGGGCAGATTTTGGCTATTAATGCCCTCCCTCTAAAAATTTATTTCTTAATCAAGAGACAATAAACAGGACAGCTTTGTACAATCAAGAACTGTCCCACCCTGAATACCTAAAGTCTACAACTGAGAAAGCACTGTATCAGTCCGCAAGTTCCATGAGGTCTTGTTATGTACTACTGTCCCTTCATAGTAGACCCTCCAGCAGGTTTTTTCAAGTTTTTAAAGTGCATAGGAGCAAGCTGCGCATCTTTTTCCCATGGAGCAAATGGTGGATTTGAATTGCATGCCTTTGAATTGGTAGTGCAACTCCTTACCACTAAGCCACCATAACCCCCACCCCATGAGGTCTTTCTTAGATTGGGTCTAATCTTATTCATCAATATGACTCTGACAAGTTTTTAATACTTTCTATGAAAATGGTCTTATATACAGATCCCATGTGCAACCTGGCTTTTCTGTAGTATCTACAGCTAATTGTGGTGTGACTTCTGTTCCTATCTTGGCAAAGGAGCTGTTATCAGAAACATTTTAGCCAATGAAAGTTTTGTTTTATTTAGGGAAGAAATAGGGCAATGAATATTTTTGATGCCTGACTAAATGTTAGGCAGTTAAGAGTTCTCTGAGAACTGCATGAGCTCTGGAAGACAAATGGAGTTTTCTGACCTTCAATTTAGTAAGGACTCTGAACTTCCTTGTACATTCAAGATCAAGAACCAGCTCATTAGCTCTAAGTTCTTGGGTCCCAAAGAACAGAAAAATAAAAAATATTCAAGTGTGGCAGAGAATCTATTTGGTCTGCTATTTCTTTCACTCATGCCCTATTCCATCGATGCTAGATATCTTGAGGTTCATTGGTCTGAATCAGGCCAATTCCATTCTGTCATAGGAAGTGGGAGCTTCAGAGTAAAGAAACTCATCTTTTAACCTCCAGGGAATGGAGGAAGGAAAGGTTTAACTAATTATGCTTCTATTTTTCACTTCCTCTTTAATTTTAATGCTAGAAATATTCAACCAGTATTTTCCAAAAGGAAAGATCAGAGTGGGAGTAATCGAAAGCTATTCAACATAACCACTCAGCACCATTAGATAATGAAGGCTCCAACCATGTTTTACTCCTCGTCTTAACAATGGTTAACAAGAAAGGGAAGAAGGGAACTTAACACATCATTCTTGACCTAGAAGTGCTTCGCCCTGAGATTATTAAGGATGCTTGACCCCATTCCATAGTTAGTCAAAGCTCAAATAACACAGGATAGTTTCTGCAAAGATCTAGGGCATTAAATCAAAGAGTGCATTCAGCATGACAGTATTTCATATTTCACTCTATTACCCTGGTTTGCTGAGCCCTATCCTTGTTCATACTAATCACATCCATGGGGAAAAATAGGAGTTCACCTTTTCACCAATCTCTATCCATTATCTTATACACTCCCTTTTTAAGCAGCTTTTCTCTGTGCCAAAGACTACTCCTTTCACCTATTAAATACTCAAAGCTACTAGCTACGTGTGAATATTTAAATTAAAAAGTTGGAAGAGTTCAGTTCTTCAACCACATTATCCACATTTTAAGTGCTCAACTCCCATATGTGGCTAGAGGCTATCATACTGGACAGCACAGCTGCAGAACACTAAGTATCAATGAATGTCCCATCCCATTGTCTTCCTTCTGCACTCGTCTGTTGTCTTTGAGAACCACCAGAAATCATTCAACTCTCAATGTAAACATAACCAAAGTAATGCATTCTTCAATTTCTCTAACCAGTTCCATTTGACCTTCTCTTTGCACAGACTTTCTCCTTGCTTCACCATTATGTATCTGCCTTTGTGCTTTTAGGTTCTTGTTTACGTGTGTGTGTGTGTGTGTGTGTGTGTGTGTACACAACCCCCCTCTTGTGCTTTATTTACTGTGTGTGTGTACACACACAAACCCCCTCTTGTGCTTTATTTACTTCCATAAACAAAACTGCCTGCCATCTCTATAGATGCCCTAATCTCGGTATTTTTTTTTACTTTGATTTCTGCCAGTTTTTCAGATTTACATTCTTCTCAACTGTCCCCAGCTTTCCTAATCTAAGCAGTCTCTACATCTCTAATATCATCATTTTTCATGGCTTAAACCATCATCCTTGACTTTCCTCCTCCCATGTGGCAGCCAAGCCCTTCAGTATTCCTTGTGTCATCTTGCTACTACTGTTACCCTAGTGCAGACCCTAATATGCAAGAATGGCCCAATCGTTATTTCCCCATCATATGGCACCTTTACTGCTAATAATATGTGAGATTTTAGGTAATATGAATGTGAACTTTTATTTGCTACATATAATTTAATGAACACTGGGGGGAGGGGAATCATCATATCAAACCTTGAAGATACCGTATTACCTATTCAAAGTCTCTAACCTTTGAGCTTTAATAAGTATCCTTACTATCCACCAAAAATAAAATGTAAAACCCTTCAGTTTGACTTTAGTACCCTCCTACCGGCTAATCTATCTCTATAGCCATGTGTCTTCTTTCCCATCTCTATACTTTGTCCTTTCAATTCTTTTTGATCAATATCCACTATCCCTCGGCCAAACTCTGCTTGTCAAATAGCCAATCTTTTGGAACTCAATGAAAATGAAGAGGCAACTTTTAAGATATTATGTGCTCATGTCATTAGTCTTTTCTAATCACCCCCGATGGAATAATTTTCCTGCTTCTTGTGGTATTTATCACATAGTATGTTTAGCTTGATGCAATTTCTCTCTTATTAGATTTTGAACATCTTGACAGTAGGTAGGGCTGTGCCTCCATCTTTGATCTTAATCTTCCTATCTTAATACCCTGTGCCTTACAGATTCTAAAAAATGGCAACTGAACTTAATGAATCTGTATTTTAATCTTGAAGGCTACATGATATGAAGAAAACGGTTTACGTCAGAAGGAAATCTGAATTTTATGGAAAATCTAAAATTTTAAGATTTTAACATCTTTCTTTACCTAGCTGCAGTTATACAAAAGAAAAACAAGTTTTAAATCGTACTTTGCTGAGACACTTAAGTACTAAGTGGACAACACTTGGGTACTTTGAAAGCATAACTAATAGGTACATTACCCAGGCTAAAATGATTCCTGCTGTATAAACTGAAACAGGGGTTTCTGATATATTCCACAATATGAAATAACTGTAGTGTACTAGCATTTACCAGATGCATGTATATATGTATTTATGTATGTAATATTTCACCATGTTCACAAAAATTGAAATATGCATGATTGGTTATTTTAGTCTTCCCAAATAAATAACCATTTATTAGTTGTTTTACTGCCCACTAGCATGCACTAGCAAAATACTAACAGGCCTCAAATATGTAGTAAGGGTTTAAAGACGCACAAAACTATCAGAAATCCCATTATGATGATCTCAGTGATCTAGATTTTATCTTTTGTCCACTCCAGTAATATCATACATTGGGTCCAATAGATGTTCTGTGGCACACCATCTGAACCACTGATAAAAGGGTACTTTTGTGACCTCTCAATCATACTGTTTCAATGGAGGGCAATTTCTGAAGGGGACAGAAACATTATAGGTAGGATGATTTAAGAACCTGGAATGTGTAAAACACTCAGATGATCTGAAGAATTGAGACTAGAGTTCCCAATATAAGAACTTTCTGCTATCTACCATTTTGACACACTCTGATCAGCTGGCTTGATGTCAAGGGAAAAAAAAAGACACACACAAAAGTGGCTCTGATTACGTAAGTCAGAGGAGGGGAGACCTGTAATAGCTATTCCCCACACCCCCACGGTTCCTTCTTAGGGAAAGCAGATCTGACAGTGACACAAATGCAGGGTGGCATGAGGCTTCTGGCAGCTTAACATTTTAATTTAGGGTGGATGGAAGAGAACACAAATTGTTTTGTGTCCCCAACTCATTTTAACGCCTTGGGGACCAGCTAGGCTGGCCCAAATGGAATCCAGAGTGAGAGTGGGGTGTTGGGTCCCCCGAAGCAAGGGGGGCAGATCCAGAACAGGGCAGAAACGGTGATTGTTATCTGTATGAAAAAGTAAGAAGGAGACTCTAGGTAAGAAGGCCTCGCATCAATCCAGACAGCGTATTTGGGAGAAAAAGGAAGAAGAGGGCAGGGATGATTTGGGGGCTGGGGAAAGGCTAGCTAGTACAGCCAAGTGACAGTACAGTTTTCAGAGTTAGTGGGGAAAAATAAAGAGGTAGATTAGCATGAAGGTTCAGGGATCCACAGCAAACAGATGAAGGTCCCAACAACTCCCTTTGGTGCTGATTACCACTTGGCTTGCTTCTGGGGCTCAGTCTGATTCTTAGGTAATATTTGGTAGTATCCTATCTTGGGTATCTCCCTAAACATTAAGTTTAGGACACAAAATACCCAGGAAGTCTCAATATTTTGTTATGGCCCAAATCACTGGCACTGTGGATTCTCTTTCTTTGTCCCTTTCAAAAAATGACGCTTGGAATAATGATGAGACAAAGGATAGAAAATATTTAACATTTACAGCTACCTCTTTATCTCTATCAGGGTTCCACCACTGACTCAGTATTATATGCTTCCCCAGCTTTTGCCAAACCAGTAACCAGCACCAATGTTTTGAAGGTAAAAGTAGATTCTAACTCCCAGAGTATAAAGCCAAAACACACTGCGCATAGCCTGTCCCCCCAGTCACCCACAAGCCAGGAGCCCACTCCCACTCTGCTGTCAGATAGTTACATAGAGGTCATGTCATTGAGGGCGTGGTCCAGCTCCTCGCTAATGGCCTTGTACTTCAGTTTCTGGGCATAGAGTTCATCTGGGCAGGCACAGGAACCACAGGGATGAACAAGGGGATAAAGTGAAAGGTATCAGAAGCAGATGGAGAGAGGGAATCATTAGAAAATAGGAAAAGTATGACCTTGGAGCTCAGTACCACAGTTAGACGCCTACAGTAGCAGCTATGATTCGCTGCTTTCATTTCAGATCCACTGCCCTCTAGGACCAGCTAGACTTCTTACTACCTTTAAGTGGTTGCAGCAAGCAAGAGTTGAGAATCTGCGAACAGTCATAACTAGAAATTTTTATTAACAGGAGGATTCAACTCCCACCCAATTAGGTCACTTCCTCCTATTAAATGATAACCACTGAATGAGAATACAAAGGGGATTCTTTTCTATTTCCACACATCAATATCCAGGACCATCCTCTCTGCCTAGAAGCTGCGACTATTAATCACTCTTGGCTCCTTTGTTTCCATCATGAATTGCTTCTCCAAATTCTCCCACATTAAGACTATCCAATCACCCAAAGTGCTCTAAAGAAACAAGTCTCAAGAGTTCTCAAAGTACACGCTGCCTTGGCAGGCTAACCACAGTTGCCAAACTGTGTGGACAGGAAATATTTAGAAAGTCACTGGTATTGATCAGTTCTGAGGTAGTCACTGCACAGCTTCCGATCTTGGGGAAATTCTCACAACTTGAATGGGGAGCAAGATTGACATGAGCAGTCACTGAGTGACACAAGGCAAACGTACTGCCTTCTGAAATACGGCTTCCAATTCAATCCAACAGCTAGCGTTTTAAGAGTATTAGACTGGTAATAAATGCAGTAGTTACCAGTCTCTTCAAAGGGAAGTAGGTGACTTTTCTAAAAAGAAAAGATTAATTATAAAAATCCAATTTTAGAGTTTGATCCACTTCACCTAACTGTGCCATAGGGCAGGGCACAAGACTCTTGCCCAGTCACTATTAACTCCCTTTGTTGTCCAAGAAAAGAGCTTAATAATCAGTGGACAAGGTCTTCCATTCTATGTGTCTATTTTAATCACTCTCCCAGGTTCCATACCTTCCAAATCATCAATTGTCTTTTCCAGCTTGGCTACTGATCTCTCAGCAAATTCAGCACGTGTCTCTGCCTGGAGAAAAATTAAAATCAGAATCAGATATGGGGAAGACAAGAGAACAATGTCTATTTCTTCCATGTTCTGGACCTTTCAGAACCAAAGTCAGTCAATCAATCTAAATCCACATTAAGCTCTAATTTCACTATTTTGAGTCCTGCTCTACAACCATTTCAACTCACCTCCTTAAGTTTATCCGTAAGAATCTTTATCTCTTCCTCATATTTGTCTTCTTTTTGAGAGTACTGTAAGACAAGTAAAATAGAAATTTCAGACCAAACTTATCCAGTTACAGTACCCCCTCCCTACACACTGACATTCACTTTTATTCACATAGCCTCTCTGAGTTAATTGTACTGAGTGATCCAGTAAAGAGTGAGGCCCATTTCTGTATAACAGATCTTTAAATGTTATAAATCTATGTACTTAGGACCATCATATACTCAAATACTGATTCTTAACTTCTGTTTTCTAAATGGACCTAAGCTTTACCTAAACCAGAACTACCCAGGGAGGTGTTTTTCCTTCTGCTTAATGAACTGGAGTAGTGACACCTCAAGGCTAAATGGCCAAGACAGTTCAAAGGTACAGAGAAGTCAGCTTCTTTGATTGCTCATTAGGTCTCACACCTGATTCTACTTGTTGCTCCTATTTGTCTGCTAGAATTTGTCCCTTAGGGCCCATGGTTATTGCCTTTAGAATAGTAGTATCAACCTAAGGAGACACTTCTTGTCACCTGAGACCATAAAGTTACTTTAACTAAAGCAATCAAAAGCTACATACAGCACAGTAAAGTCCAGAATCTGGATAAAGAGAAGGCACATAAGAGAGCACTTCTCACAGTGTTACACAAAAGTACCTCTAGCCTTTCATGAAGGGCAGAGCTGGGCCCAGGCCCCAAAGCCTGTCACTTTCACAGACCAGCCCCTACCTTCTCCGCCTGAGCCTCAAGAGACTTGAGGTTGTTGGTGACATTCTTCAGCTCCTCCTCCAGCTCAGAACACTTACTGTGAATATTTTAAATATTGCAGGAGAAGAAACGGGGAAAGGAAGAGAATAAAAAAAAAGGAGAGAGACACACATAGACGTGAATTGAACCTATACGTAGAGGGAGCTGAGAGACATCCTGGGGAAGAGAAGTTCCCGGGTAATCTGAGCAAGTATCAACCCTCCTCCCTCTACTAGAGCACGTGAGGAGCTGGACCCTTCAGAGCTAAGACTCAGAATGCTGGGGTATCAATAAAAGAACACTTGAGAGAAATTACTACCAGGAACAAAGTAGAACTGCTGCCTGGAATGGAGGTAGGAATGGGTGCCCAACCCTAATAGTCCCCCCCAAAATCACCCAAGGGAAGGAGAGACCCTGTGGAGAGGCAGTTGAAGCGACTAGGGGGAAAAAAAGAGATGAAAATGCCAAGTAAGTGGAAGAGAAATGAAGCATTCCATGAAGAGATGAGAAAGCACGCAACAAACCAACCAGTGGAGGGGAGGTAGCTGCAAAACAAAAACGAAACCACACCGTACATGTAACCTCTCTGCGGGTTTAATGGTTAGTACCTTTTCTTCAGCAGCACTCAGACACTTGAGGTTCTGGTCCATCAGTCTGATCTGCTCATCCATCTCGCGGCAACGGCTGTTAGTGATAGTCATGGGAATGGCGCAAGCCAGGTTGTGGGGAGGGAGAAAAGGTCAAAAGGGAACACAGCAAGAAAACAAGCAGCAAAACAGGGAACAAAAAAGGACAAAACAAAAAAAATATGGAAAGAGAACATCACCATGGTGATGATATGGCATGTCTGGGAAAGGGGAATGCAAAGGAACCACAAGTATGTATGCACCAGCACGGACTTTGTTATACAAGGCCCAGGAGGGACAATGGGGTGGCAGTTAATATCCTGTCCATCCCTGAAGTTCCCCAGCAGATTGGCAAAATGGTACAGAGACCAGCTCTTAAGTCAGAACAACTTCAATGGCTCAAGGAGAAACAGACCCCCAGGTAGAAGGGTCCAGTAGGGCCTTTCAGTGAGCTGTACTCCACCTAAAAAAGAAAGTCTTTTATTTCTCCTCAATTTATAGCATCCTCTCAAATAAGGAAGTTTCATTTGTCACCAATAAAAGGATGAGTTGGAAAGCCCAGAGCCATTTGCTGTAGCGTCTTTTAAAAAACCAACACATTAATACACAACAGCTTCCACCCTTAAGGCCTTATTTAACAAGGTAAAAGGAATGCTCGTTTATTCACATTAGTGCCCAAGCCAGAAAGGAAGGGACAAAGTGGTATGATAGACTCGGGAGGCAAGATACTCACGACTCTGCCAGCTCAGCTCGTTCCTCTGTACGCTCCAAGTCCCCTTCAATAATCACCAACTTACGAGCCACCTACCAAAAAAGACCCAGGCTGCACATCAGTGAGGTAAAGAAGGCATTATCTCCATCTTATGAATGCCTCAGTGCAGGAGCCTTGCCTAATTCAAAAGAAAGGGAAGAAAAGAAGGTACCTTACCTCCTCGTACTTCCGATCTGCTTCTTCTGCAATGTGCTTAGCTTCTTTGAGCTGGATTTCCTGGAGTTCCATCTTTTCTTCATCTTTTAAGGCCCGGTTTTCAATAACCTTCATACCTCTGCCAGAAACAATAAGGATAAATGTGGTGCTAACAGGCTGTGGTGCTAGTCATCAGCTCCATTCTAAGGGGCCCGGTCTGGCCACTTTAAACCCTATTACTTTTTTGCTTGCTGCTTAAAAGTATTTATTACTGCATATTCTCTACAGGAAATTATTCCTCTACTTTACTTTGCTCAAAATTATCTATTTTTGGAGGGCAAATTGGTCAATTTACAAAAGATGTCAACTACAAAAAGGTCACAGGACTTTCTTGTTTATCTTTAAAGGGAGAGAAATATCCAAAACAGAGGGAAAAAAAAATTCCGCAAAAGAAGTTACTACGGGCTTATATAGTATTACTTGAAAATATTTATGATCTAGGGGCATAAGGCAAGTCCCAAAACCAAGCCCTACTCATTATGGTCATACCACCTCTGGAAATGTTTTATACGGATATGCAAAGTCTCTAATTCCCTCACCTCTCCACCATTTCCCCCCTTAATTGCTGTATCTTGGTATGAATTTTCACAGTTGCACTGTGCTAATGTACTCCCAACAGGACATTTTAAAATTCTGAAGCACCCTGGGCCAATCCTAGAAAGTAGTTATGTACCTATGTTCTAGTTTAACACACAGGTGGTAAGAACCATTTCTAAAGATCAGTTATGATTTAAGGATCATGGTTCTTAATTCTGGCCACACACAATGGAATTTAAAATTAAAATTTAAAAAAATAAAATCCCAGGTCCTTATCATAATTAAACAGAAGTGGGATCAAGGCTTAATTAAATGGAGGTGGATCCAGCCTTCCAGGTATCTCTCTTCAAAGCTGCCCACCACAAAAGTGATTCCAATAGTAGATCCACAGTTGAGAGAGGGCTCATTATGTCAATTTATAGAATACACCAATTACAAAAGGGTCAAGTCTAAGTAATATATCCTGTCTTCAAGGGGAGAGAATATTTAGAACAGAAGAGTCTGTAAAAGAGATTATTATGGGCTTATAAAGGAATTTTAGAGCCACTGTGAATTTCTTTTGAAATCCATACTCCGCCAAGGACCCTCCACACACCTCTCACTCTCATCAGCAGCCTTTTCTGCCTCCTCCAGCTTTTGCAGGGCAGTGGCCAGGCGTTCCTGAGCTCGGTCCAGCTCCTCTTCAACCAGCTGGATCCTGCGGTTCAAGGAGGCCACCTCAGCCTCAGCCTACATTTGAATTAAAAAATAGAGGGGAGAAGTAGCAGGCATGGTGAGAAGAAACAGAACTAAAATGGGAAGAATAGACCACAACAAGATGAACTGACACAGTGACTGGAACAATGTTCTAATGTATACCAGAGATGATGAGGATGGCACAGGAGAGGGCAAAGTTCAGAGCTATCAGTTCACAAGGTCTCTATGAGTTTTGACTGACTTGATAGCACCTAACAACAACAGCAATGATGAAGGGGACAGAGTCTAGCAGAATAGAATCCATCTTATCTCAGATTCAGATACCTTCAGATACTAGCAGACATGGTATTTTCTATCTCCTCCCTTTCCCATCAACTAAATCCCACATGTTCCACAGGAAGGGTATTTTAAAAATAATTTCCTTTGCCTAGTCAGTGGCAGCACCACATACTTTCTGGATTCAGTTCAAATTCCTGAACACACTGAAGTCAGAAAAAGTAACTAGTAAATGGTTCTTTCTGCTTACACTTGACTTTAAGGAGGGGTTGTTGTTTACCTGTTTAGCCAAGTAGTAATCCTCTGATTATCTTACCTTAACATACCAGACAGATGACTTCCTATTGTGGTGTACCATCAAGCCAGAACCAAAACCATAGCTGAGATGCTAGTTTTGAAAGGCAGTTAATGACATGAGACTAGACTGGTGGGGATTTGAACCACATACTTTTGGACTGTCAGTGCAACTCCTTACTCACTAGGCCACCAGAACTCCCCTGAAGGATGACTAGACAAAGAAATACTTTCACTCAGAATAGTTCTATTTTGGAAAGCAATGTGGAAATGTGGGGTACTTATTTCTTCAACTTGCACCTAAAAGTTGTTTTTTTTAAAAAAAAAAAAAAAACTGTCGGCGAGCTCTGCCGGCCTAGTGGCAAGAAACTGCATTGCAATCTCAGAGGTACACGGCCAGATGCTCTGCTGGAGAAGGAGGAACAATCTCCTCCGGTATCAGTCAGATCTGATTTGACGGTACACACAAAAAATAATGACATTTTTTTAAAAAAACTGTCAAAAAGGAGTTTCTTTATCAAAATTATTTGCTTTGGTGACATTACCAAAAAAGGAAGAAAAATTGAGAAAAAACAGATTGTTTTCTCCATGTCTGAGTTGTCCTTTCTATTCTTTTAGTTATCCCCTGAGAGTCACCCTCCAATGCAACTTATGACCACCCTCTCTAGAGTACAGAGAGTACCCAAGTAATTTCATGCTCCTACCTGGTACTAAAATAATAAGCAGAGAAAGAAAGTGGCAGCCCACACATGAATGAATTCTTTTAAATGAACTCTTTTAAAGCCATCCTTTTATTTCCACACCTTTAGGGTGGCAGGTATGCTGACAGGCACAACCATACAAGAATTTAATCTGCCCTGCATACCACACAGTTCAGATGTTTATCAAAGTGCCTAATGAACATGATCTCCCTTCCAGAACCCAGATTGTGCCTGAATTCTATTGCCCTGATTTCCTCCTGGCAGTCGGGTGGGAGCCAGAGAAATAATCTGGGCCACCAACCCCTATGGGGAAGAGACATAGTCCAAAAGACTCCTTTTAAAATTCAGGTTATTTAGCACAAAAATTTCCACATTCAAATAGTTCAAGAGACTAGTTGGAGGAGGGGTACAATCTAACCCCTAGGCTACTGCAATGGGAAAAATCATTAAGACTCCTAAGTGGAAATAGTGAAATCTATAAAAACCATTTGTCTCTATATATAGTATCCAAGTCACTACAAAGATAATATCTTTTTCTAGGAAAATCGGTGTCATTGGATATAATACCCTTCACTTCACAAGTCCAGCAAGGCTGTCCAGTCAAGATTACAGATGAGAAACCCTGCCATACAACAGATCCCTTTCCCTGAGATGTCTAGAGCTCAAAAATGGCAAATGGAACATAATTAGTAGTTACCCAAACCGCAATAAAAGATAACAGGCTATGGGGGCGGGGTATACCAGTTCCATGGCAATAAGCGGGCTCCGGCAGTTTCTCCCACAAATCAACATTAACAATAGCATTCTTCGCAAGGATGAAAAGAGAGGAGAAAACATCCCGTTGCCCTCACATGCTGCCCTCATATGCGCATGCCCATACCAATAAGTCTGTACGAAAAGCACAACCCAGAGAAAGAGCCCAGAAAAAGCTTTAGAGACTGGGGGGCCCCAAATAATCACATTTCTCACCCCCTTTTCTCGTACAGAGTGGACAGCTCCCATTAAAATGAAACAAAAGCCTGAAAATAAAAATCTGATACTTTGTTTAAATGAGTATGCAAAGACAACCTAACTTTTCTTTCATGTCAAAATCTATACACAATGCCTTTCTCTTTCAAGGCAATAAAGTTGCACCTAGAAAATTAAATGGGAATTTCCAGACCAGAACACCTATGGTCCTAAAAACATTAAAGCTTAAAGTTTTTCATGAAATTTAACATGCCCAGATAAAGTTTTGACATTTCAGGGTGACCCACCTATGCCTACCTGGAGAGTACATCCTGAGATCCTTCAAGTAACAGAATTCTCCACTGTCCAGGAAGCTAAAATAGGGGGTGAGGAGTGGGAGGGGACCCAATGACAATTCAGTTGCACATAGATGGCACACTACAACTGACAGGATGCTGGTGTTTTCAGGCAGATCAGGGTCAAGGACAGAAAGGGATTAGCTTAAATCTGGCATTCAGACACTCCAGGGTTTCTCTTTTTGGACAAAAGCTACAGATGAAATTCAAAAGAAAGCAGTAGAAAAGTTGGGCTTCTACCCCGTGAGTCAAGAACTGCTCCAGTTCACTGTGCTCACAAACGTTATCTGTCTGGGGAGATACTGTGTCCTTGGGGAATTTAAATTTCACCAAAGGGGAGGGAGAGGCAAGTTGGAAGGAAGGCAGTAGAGCTATCTGCCCCAGAGTAAACAAAGGTGGAGTCTAAGCAGAGGCACTCAGAGCAAAGGGCTATTTGTGAGATATGTGCTCTCTTATGGGGAAAGAAAAAAGCAAGCAGCAGGAAAGCAAATCTAAACCAAAGGAGGTGATAAAGGCAGTTGCTTGGTGTATCAAACAACAAAAATGAACAAGTCACACTATCAGACATTCTAACTCTCTCTAGAGGTTAAGAATTTGTGATTAGTCAGAATCAAGACTCCCCATTCATCTCCTAATACTCCTAAATTTTAATTTAGATCAGAAAATGGGAAATATTAGGGGATATTCAACTCACTGCTGTTGACTCTAAACTGACCCTCCAGCAGTTTTCCAAGGTGTAAACTGTATAGGCGAAGATTATCCATCTTTCTTTCTCTGAAGGAGCCGCTGGTGGATTGGAACCATCAGAGAGGCACCATCTTTGTGACTGTCAGTGATTGAAAAATTACATTGATGAGGGTAGGTTTGCATAGCTGACTACTATAAATGCTGTCAGTTAGTTGTTGTTACGTGCAGTTAGTTGTACAACTGAAAAAAACAATGGGTAAAACTTGAGTGAAATATATTTACAATGGCAACCAAAAAGAGGGATTTGAGTCCTAGGTTTCGAGTCATGGTTTCATGGGGTATCCCAGTTAATTGGCCTAATAGTGTTTATTGTTTCTGTTCTACTTCCTAGTTCTTTATATAGGGTCTGACCCTTAAAGGCTCACAAGCTGTCATTCAAGGCACAATTGGTGGTCTCTAGTCAAGAGCAACAGATAAAGGAGAGTCAGAATAGGTGTTTACGGAATGTGTGGCTGTCTTCCTGAACTGCCTCCTTTGCCATGAAACTAGAACTATATTCAGTTCTGTAATTAACTACCATTATAGGACATTTCCATCAAAGAATTTTCATACAATAATGCTGATCAAAAAGGAGGAAATGCAGAACAGAATACGTTAGACTATCTGGAGCTATCAAACTATTGCTGTTGTATAATTTTTTTTTTAAACAAAAATATCCCCTGAAATTAGTTTAAGCTGAACAATAATTTATAAAGTACAAAAAAAGGTCTAGCGGGGAGGGATTGTATAACAAGGAAAGAATTTTTCTTTTACTTTTCAAAGAGAAGAATGAACTGGAGGAGAGGGGTGGGCAGGGAGAAAAGTGCAACAATGAATGAATGGAAATCCAAAATCTCTGTAAATTTTCATTAAAATTAATAATAATAAATTTTTAATAAAGGTCCATTTTGAGCATTATTGTTATGTGTCATCGAGTCCTCTGCACTCTATGTACAACAGCTCTAAACCCTGCCCTATCTTGAGTCAATCTCATTTCTCCAACACACCTACCCCATTAGCCCAGTTACTGAGCAAATCCACTTCATCCAGGGTCGTCTTCTCCTGTGTTGTCCCTCCACCCTTCCAAGTATGATGTCTTCTCCAATGACCTGGCAACATGCCCAACAATATGTGAGACTGAGCTTCAAAATCCTTGTCTCCAAGGAGTGGCCTCGTTTCACTCTTTCCAAGTCATACCTGTTTGTTCTTCTGGCAGTCACTGAACATGGTATGTTCAATACTCTTCTCCAGCGCCACAGCAAAGGCACTGATTCGTCCATCATCCTTAGTAACCGTCAAGCTCTCTGATGCATAGTGAATAACTGGGAAGACCATGGTTTGGATAAGGGACATTTTAGTCTCTAGACTGACACTGTTGCTCTTCAGCACTCTGGAGAGGTCCCTGACAGGAGATTTTTTTCCCCAAAGCAATTGTCATTTGATATCCTGACTGCTGGTGCCAAGAGTGTTGATTGTGGAACCAAGCAAGCTGAAGCTGTTAACAATCTATGTCCCCTTAAGTTCTATCTTTGTGGGATCAAATTGACAAGAGCCAACTTGAAAGGTTTGATAGGAACTTTGGGGAGTGAGGGGGACGAAGCCTACGTTAATGAGAGAATAACTCAGAAAGAATAGAAAGGTGAGAATTATCAGTTTTGTTACATCATATACGTAGAATTGATTAAACTGCTATGTTTTGCTATGTTTATTCGTAAACAGAACTTAGGTGAGA